CTAGGAGAGAAACAGGACCACACACTATAAACCAGCAAAACTCCATCATCTATAACTAAAGGTTGTTGATGGCAACAGCTCAGCTGATATTTCTCTCCTGGATGGTGTCACAGTCATATAATAAAAAATACATCTATGATCTATAATTGTAATAAATGATAAAAGTTGTATTTTATTCATTATTCAAGTCTTTTACCTTTACCATATTTAAATAGGATCACAGTTTTTCTCTGCTAGGTCTGAGGTTTCCAGAGCTGCAAATCTTTTGGTTCACATAATATATCATACAACAAACTTTTGACTTGTTTCTTTTGTTTGGTGCCCTGGTCCCACCATGTCCCCCCGGTAAATCTGGGCTAGAACCACCACACGCCGCATGGATACAGAAACTAATGCAAAAAGTGTCCTAAGCAAGTATTTAGATTATGGAAATTAATTTTCATTTTAGAAGCCTTACATTCAATAAATCTTTTTATTTCAGATGATATAATATTTAAATTTTCTGAGACACAGAATTCAATAACCTCTAAGCGATAAGCATCACAATTACAAGATATAAAAGGGTTGAATTATTTCACGCAATGTGGAAAAACATTAGATTTTCTTTCTTACAGAGAGACAAAAAAACTCTTTTTTTCATGAAACTCTTTACCAGAAGAAAAACTAGTTTGATATCTTTTATGGTTTTTTTGGAAATGAACCAACGTTAATAAAATGGCACCATGTGTGGACCATACAACGCTGAATATGAGCAGAGAAAAAAAAACATTCCTTAAATGCTTAACACCATCTGCTGCAACACCCTTCTGCTCCATAAAAAGTGTATTACTGATTGGAAGCGTCCGGTATAATTGGCTGAGATAAAAGCTTAAGTCAGTGGGCTGTTATGGCACCGAATGGAGCCCAGCAAAGCTGTGCAAACAGCTCAGACATAACCTACATTATCATCCCCATCATTCCTGGGCCGGGCTTGCCAAGCACAAGCCGGTGCCTCGGCATTTTTATGGCACCCCAGAGCGGATGGAAGGCACGCTCCTGTGGGAGCCAGGAACCATCCGCTGCGTCTGATTCTAAATAAAGACCATCCGTTGCCACAAAGGGAGGCGTGACGGAGGGATCCACCTGAGGCGCTACCTGCCAAATGGACTCAACTCGCCTTTACACCAACCAGACAACGTTTTGGTCCATTTCTCACTGGCGTACATGCTGTTTTTCCATCTAAAGAGACCCGGGGTGGGAAGATGACGGATCCGATGCTTGAAATCCACAGAGGGCTTCCATAACAGCCAGCTCTGTCATCTGCAAGGCCCAGGAAAAACTCAGACTGCTACTTAGATTAGTTTGCACAGGGAAGCTCAGGACTGAAGAATGTTTGCATGATTGAGACAAGAAAGAAATTTAGATATTGGTTTTTCTGCTACAGTTACTGTTCAGAACAGCAGAGCCCTGCTAATTGTAGGTATTATGGTCTAAAAAACATGCATAAAATAAACACAGTGCTGAAAATGTGAGTCTGGGAGGTAGATGGGAGATTTGGGTAATAGAGATAATGACTGCTGCTTTGCTTTGTACTGTACGTGTGTGAGAAAATAAAATGGCTTGACTGTATACGGAAGAAAATACTACATCATCCGAGCCCATGGCTCTCAATATGGCATTAAGTCATCAAGAGTATTCACTAAGTGGGTTTAGCAGGCTGTAAAAATCTGCCCATATGGCTGCGTGCCTGCATGGTGGTTAAGAAGATATTTTTAACACTTGAAGCTCCGCTGTTGCTGGTGTACTAATGACTAGCTGATACTTCAACACCACAAGACAAAGCCAAGTGACTCATGTAGCCAATTACAGACAAGTAGGCTCCACACTTGGTTGGCAGCAAAGTGCATCCTCACTTAAAGGTCGAAACAGGCAAATTGGAGTCTGGGTAATGGTATACAGGAGCTGAAGCAGAGCACTGTGGAATAGATGAAAAGCCACGGACCAGTGATCAGGGTGTTCCTCTGTGTTTTAAAGTATTGTTTGGACTTTGTTGGTTGTGAAATTGGCACCAGGGATTCATACAAGCATAAAACTATTTTTTTGTTTACTGTTAATGACTGCGAATTAATATTTACAACCTAACAGATGTGTTGTTAGAAAAATGGGTTGTCTAAAATCCATTTTCCCTACCTTTTAGGTTATGATTCATACAGTTTGAGAAAATAATATCAACAAGGTCATGTTGGAGTATTGTACCTGTTCTAACCAGGTCTGTAAATAATTTTTTTTTTTTTCACGGCAGCTCCTGTTCTCCTGTTTTCTTTTTTTTTTTTTACTTCATTGTTGAATCGTAAAGCAGATATGTTGTTTTAATTCAAGTTTCTCAGTTAGGGTCAATATATTCTCTGAAAAATGAGTCATGTTTTCCCAGAAGTGGGACTCATTCATTTATTACGCTTGGTTAAACCCTTTTTCTTTGCTGCCTGTTTTTTGTTATGTTGGGTTAGATTTGTTTGAATTTTCTTTACAAAGATTTGAAATGAATGAGTTAATGAAAATAAAAAATATCCTTGATGTATACAGTAATTATATGTCATCCTTGTTGAATCAAAGAAAACAATCTACTGAATCTCATCTTACAGGAAATTTAACGTTGATTTAACTAACTTCATTTAAATCAAAAACCAACCCAGTTTTTTCTCTTTTTTCTATTCAGCTATTAATAAAAAACACAAAAACCTTTATTGAAATGGAAGACTGCTTTACAATCCTGACCATTAAAATCCAACATGGCTGCCATAGCTACAACGGTGTAGCTATGGCAGCGATTTATTGTCCTATCTTTTAAAACCTCACTCTCATTATTGTCAGGCTCTGTTGATAAACATATCAACTAAGAAGACATTCTATGCAGTTAGCATCTAATGCTAGTAGTATCTAGAAGCACATGCTAACCAAGCTAGCTTGGTAACAGAGTAGAACGTTTAGTAGGCCACATTTATTGGAACTAGTGGTAAAGTTGTCTAAAAAAAAAAGGCCAAAATTAGTTAACATTTTAATGCAGTAGTTCAATGAAATTGTTAGAAAAGTTTAACTTTTAAATTAAAGCTTTTTTCTTTCAACCTAAGAAGACATAGTTAGAAGATAAATTGGTTTCAGAGTAATTAGCACCGCAGCTGTTCTTGATTTAGACTTAACAAGGCTGGAGGCAGGTCGTAGGGAATCCTGGGTCCCCTCCTGTGATCGCTTTTCATCTTACTGCAAATTGAACACTTGCTGTTTTTAAGTCCTCTCTTAAAAGACATTTTTCTACTCGGCATTTTACTGGACATTTTTTTTTATTTTATTACACTGTCACAAGTACAGAGCAACAATGTTAACTCTTTGAATTGACCCATCCCATTGGGGATCAGCGGGCTGTCATTGTATGACGCCCGGGGAGCAGGAGGTTAAGGGTCTTTGTTCACGGACATTGGCGGTTCTAGACAGGGGCCAACAGGGGCCAGTGCCCTTGTAGATAATGTCCTGGTCCCTGTTATGGCCCCTGTTCCGAAGACATAATACTAAAAGAATTTCTAATGGTGATATTTGCAGAACAGACATGGTTACTGATAGGTCCTTTGGATCTATTTCATTTTTTTCTTTAAAAAAATCTGTTTTTGCTAATTATTTAAAAACAATAAGGTGAAAGCTTCAGTGGTATTAAGATAGGGTCCCAGTTTTCATCTGCTAAATGTTTTTTTTCTAAACAAATAAAAAAAGATACTGTAATTTTTTCGGCTGAAATGATACATTTTCTTGAGTTCTAATTCTGATTTTTATGGAAAACAGTAATTTTAACTTTAAGTTTAAAAATATATAAAATTCCTAAATTATGCATATACTGTATATTTACCTAATGTTCCAAATAAGAGCTATATGTCTTTTACATATCTATATAGCTAAAGTTGCCAAGGGATTTTCATTTTGCTTTTTAACGATAATCCAAATGAACATTTTCAAGCCAAAAATAAATATTTTCATTTGGAAGACATATTATTTGAATTAAACCTAATTGAATGGAAATTTAACTTCATGCAGTTCTCTTAATATATTTGAATCCCTTGCCCTGTGTTTTTGCTTCATGCTTTTCTGTGCCCCCATGGAAACACGGTGCCCCCCGTCCTCCTGGAACATTTGGTCTAGAACCGCCACTGCTCTGGGACCCAGAGTGGCAGTCTGTGGGAGTGGGGCTCAAACTCAAAACCTCAGGATTACACGCTCTATGCCCTAACCACTAGCCTGCCACTCCCTCAAACTGGGCCGCCAGATGTTGCTTCCTATTCATCTTCTTTTACTCTTTTATTTGATCAATTTAAATATTTAATTCTTTTTTTTATTTTGTCCTTCAAAACAATGAAAAACTGTTGTGGTATTTAAGTTAGATCTGCTAATCATAAATTTGTTTTATTGGCTTTATGTGTAGAGCACTTTAGAAACAGCGTTGTTTTTAAAGTGCTTTATAAATAAGGCTTCATTGTGTCGTAATAATACTGGTCTTCTGGGGAGTGAGATGTTTGCTGTACCATTACTGGATTTATTTGGGAAAAAACTCAGACGTAATTCTAACTCTAAAACAAATCTGTTTGTAAAGATTGTTCCTGCAGCACAGTTATTTTTTTGATGTACTGGAAATAAAATAAGTCAGAAAAAACTTTCACAGACTACATGCTCACTTTTTTTGGAAATTGTGTGTAACAGAAAATGTCACACTCTCTCAGCGTCTGTCATTTATCAGCCTTTGGTGCCGGGTTGCCATGGCAACAATATCAACAACAGGGAAGAAACCCACATTCGCATATACACGCAAAGAAGTTAAACTCCACCCACACACTGTATTCAACGCACCAAAAGTAATAAAAAAACGAATTAAAACATGAAGAATTGTTTTAGCTGGAGTCTGGATAGAAAGTGATACAACATCAGTCCAGATGTGACATTTCACCTGTAAATGTTAATGATTTGTTGTCGCAGTGACTCACCGCATGGTCCTTTGTGCTGGATGCGGATTTGCTTCTGCAGAGTGCAACCCATCGCCCGCATCTCACAGGGGCTGCTATAGGTTTGGCCATCGGATCCGCACACCGGGTCGGAGATCTGGGGGCAGGCCTCGGTGCACTCGCAGACCGGCTCGTTGTTCTTGACGACGCACACCGCCCCGTGTTCGCATGTCTTCATCAAGCAGGGGCTTGGTGAGTTGAGATCTGAAGGTGGGTGGGCCAAGAAACAGAGAGCAGAGTTAGATGGCTACAAACGGAGTGGGACAAAGAGGAGGTTGGAGAAAGGTCAGTGGAGGAGGTATTAGAAGGGCAGGTTAGAGTTTAGCTTCATGGAGTTATTGAGTGTTAATAAGGGATTGGGTAGAAGTAATGGAATCTGCTTCCTATGTCATTTCCCTGCTTTTGTGCCACCCTCATGCTGAATCTTTGAAGTGTCCAGCGAATCCCCTGGCACGAGGACAGCGGATATAAACATGGCCTACAGCACAATACAGATGAAACAGACAGCTAACAATAGTTGCACAGCAATTTTCTTTAGGCCGCGCAAATGGCCGGATTAATTGACGCTCCTGCTGAGTCCCTTCAAAGGCGGCCATTTGCATCTCAGTGAGAGCCGCCGTTTGAGCCAAAGCTAGCTGAACTGACACCGAGGAGGGAGAAGGGATGAGACAGTTTCAACCAAGACAGGCAAAACATGGAGAACGGAAGAGAGAGAAAAAAGAAAGCCTAAACTGCTCAATAATACAAGAACAAAGAGAGCTCCCAGGTAGAAGCAGATATGAAGCGTGAACATCAGAGAAAAGTGTCTGCTCTAGTCTCTCCTGCTCAAGCAAAAACTCCAGCAAGACTTCATTAAACTGAAGGCTGGATCTGGTGTCTATGATTCTCAGCGGTGGCAGATGGGTGTAGGCTGGTAGACCAGAACTCGATCAGGAAGCTGAAAACAGCTCAGGAAATAAAAAAGAAAATGCTTTGATCACATCCTCCTGCTGCCTCGATCAACTCTTTAGTTAGACAGCTTTTAGACTCCATGAAAATGTGTGTGTGCACTAAACGGGGGTTCGACAGCATTCATTAAAACTGTGCACATGGATTGATGGTGCGCTTCAGGTAGGCGGTTCTACATTTAAGGTCATGGAGGAGCCAATGATATATCATCTTTAAATAGGGGTTCTTTCCTAAGGCTTTTTGGACAATTATCTGATCAGTGAGTGGAGACGTTTCCACAGGGCGGAAGATTAAACACAAAGACCTCCACCACTTTGGACCAGGCCAACAGAGAGGAAGGACATTTGCCCAGCTGGTCTCTGGACAATTAGACCTCCCAACCAAGCGGAGTACCTACAACCATAGCAACAAAGCCTCTCCTTGCCGTTGGTTAAAAAACACATCGATGGTTGCCATTTTCAGAGCAAAGCTCCTTGGTTAACTCTTTTGAGCTTCCAAAATCAGATACTGTCTAATGTTAGATATACAGAAATAATTTCTAGAATGGCCAATTTCTAGTTTATCAATAATGAGGGGAAATCTAAGAACAAGTGATAAACTGACGTAATTCATCTATGGAAGTTCAAGGGTATTGGTGGAAAAAAAGTGTAGAATATTTGATCATTGGATTAATCAAATTATCTTCAAACAACCAACATTGAGGTACAATACTTTCAGGCTCTGTATGCCAGTAATATGCCAGCATAGCACTGCTTTAGTCGTAAAATATGGTGGTTGTTAGGAATCCAGTTTGTGAGGCCTGTTTGTGTGTCTCCATTTTCCAACAGCAGGAGGTGCCCTGTCTTTGCTGCCCCTCCCTGCACACCTGCACACCTGCGGCTTATTGGATCATTATCTGGAGGAGTATTTGAGCACTGGACTGTCACTACCTCGAAGCCAGATTGTTGGCCAGTTTTGGATACTCTAGCCAAGCTGAGTTTGGCTGAGTCTAACCTAGCTTTGTTTCTCTGAGTCTAACGAGTCTTTTGTGTTTTGCTCCTCGGCAGGAAGCTTTTCTGCATACTACATTCCTGAACCTTCTCCCCTCTGGAAGGAAAAAAAAACGAGTTAACACTGAGCAGGGGAAAATCTCCACATGTTCCGTTCAAGTACCCATCAGAAATCCGAGTGACAGTCCGTTCCATTACTCCTCCGGGTCCAACGTTTGTCTACCTGTCCGCCCTCCAACATGTGCACTATTCACTGGTTTTACCACACAGACTGGATTCAAGGACTAACCAGGACTCCCTCAAACATGAGTGCCATACTTACATATCTAAGTGCTTCCTAGAATCCCGCGGTCCCTGAACTGACCACTGAACTTTCCTTCTCACTTCCAGTTCCGGGTTATCAGCTCACTGAGTTCAAGACCCAACACCTGTATTACTCCTTCAATAAACCTGTTAAAGTTTTCCCTTGTCCTCTGCATGTGGGTCAGATTCGTAGACCGATATTGACAGTGGTGAAGATTCTCAGTCACTACCCGATACTGGTCTATGCCTATTCTTTCCAATTTCAGAGGCATAGACCAGTATTGGGTCTTTTCAAAAAGTTAAAACCAAACCACTGGACTTTGCTTTCTAAGTTTGAAGACGTTAAGTATCTAGAAACCTTTCTCAATTCAAAATGTCTGGAGTAGCCTTGAGTCCAGGCTTGATAGAGCAGCCCTAACCCTTCCTAACCGTACATGTAGTCAATCTCAGAGGAAGCAAAAAGCAGCTAGAGCAACAGAAGCTCACCTTCCAACAAAAAAAACTATCAAAAAATTACTTCTTAAATAAGCTATACTACTTTTCTACAAACAGTGGCATTTCTTTTAAGAACCTCTTAGTATATATTTGTGGTATTTTCCTAAATGTTTTAAGCAATTTCCTCACGAAAATCTAAAAACTCTTCATAATTCTTTCATAAACTTTGATTAAATAAAGAGACTTCTCCTATGTGACTCTATGAAGGAGAGTTTTAAGTTTAAACAATGGTGCTATATAAATACGCTTTCCAGTCCCCTGCTTGTCAAACATTTAAAGTTAATTAGAAGATCTGTTGGTAATTACAAAACTAGATGCTTCACAGTTAAATCATAAAGATAAGCCCATTTCCTCTCAACTCTAACTTTGGTTTTAGATTTGGGTTGAAGGATGACGGCGCTGTCATGGAAACAGGCCGCTTTAATGGCGCCACCCATTGCTCCATCATTATTGTGACCATTATAACATTAGATGGCGTCAGAGGGGGGGCCAACTTCACATGCTCAGAGCCTCATGATTCATTTATCTGCTAAATTATCAACTGATAACACAGACAATTAGCTCGTTTGACTCTGATTAAGGCGACAGGAGGTGATGAGGAACCAATGGGATTTGAGATAATCATCGATATCAGATGAACATCTTAGGACCAATCATGAGAAACCATTCATCTGGATCACAAGTGAGACCGAGCTGAGGTGTAGATAACATAAGAGAAAAGGGAGGGGAGATATGAGAGATTTTCTTCTTCTCAAGCAAAGTCTGTTCAGGGTGCAGAAGTGAACGATGCAGAAAAGTTAGTGAAAACCCACCATTGATTTGGGTGTTTGGACACCAAGCTTCTGTCTCACCACAGCTTGGAGGTGCCACGTAAATATGAAAGCAGCTCAGCTCTGCTTAATTTGGTTCTGCTTCTGAGACAATTGATTCCCCCTGATCCCATTTCAAAGATCGCACAGACTCGTCTGTGTGTGTGTTTGTGTCTGTGCAACAGCCTGAAGCTTGTGATCCAGGCTTAACCGTGCAACCTTGGCCTTCACAAAGAAAGTCTGCCGGTCCACTTCCCAAGGACGGGTTGGTGGTAAAGCAGAACTGCAGCCGCAGATAACGCCTTTGTCTTCCGCTCTCTTTGTTTCTCACTCTGGAACATTTTACAAAAGGCTGTCTTTATTTTCTAAATCTTTTTTTAATCATCTTCAACCTCTGGGGACAAAAAAAAAAAACAACTGGAGAAAATGAAGAGGTAAAAAAAAAAAATCTCTCAAAGTCTAGAAATGCGTTGAGGCTTAAACCTGAAGATGTCTTTTTGTTCTCGTTGGATGCAGCCAAAGTCTTTGAAACGACAGCCTGCAACAACTCTCCTTCATTCCCTGGTTCTCGCCCAAACTACATGATTTCTTTTTTTTTTCTTCAAAAACAAAGAAGAAGTGATCTCTATATGTGAAAACCATCCTGACAGTTAAATGGAAACATCTGTATCTGCCCAGCAGGACGTCTGCAGGGAAACAGGGATACATTTTTCACTAATGAAGGATTGGGCTCTATGCCATTTCTACCAGAGTATACTTTACATTCTGAGCATCACCTCAGCCCTGATCCTCTCCTGCAACTTTCTGTTTTAATTAGTCTGGTATTTTAATGCCGTGGCCTCACTTCAGCACTCGGTGAGGATTACTGCAGGTCGGGCCCTGGTGTCACTACCCCAGAAGAAAGGCACGAATTCTGATTGGACTCCTTTCTCTGTTGTCCTGCCTGAAGAACAGCTGCAGCCCGTTTTTTCAAGAGTTACCTGCAAACTTAAGTGGCTCCTCTGTGCAATTTCTAAAGTTAAACAACTCGTCTGTAGATTCATATGAAGGCTCAACAGTCCCTCCGCTCTCCTGGGCAGGCGCCTGGCAGGAAGCAGGCGTACCCAGTTAACCCCACCGTAACATGTTGGGGAAAACGCCGGGAGATTTATTTTGGCGAGCGCTTCCTTCCATCTCCACTCAGCTCATGCATATGTTAATTGGACTTTTCTACCCCTCCCTCGGGTGTGTGTGCAATTCCAAATGGTTCCCTGTGTTATGCAGGGCAATGAGTCGGTGTAATCCAGGTGACGCTTTGCAGCAGCCAACTGGCAGAGAAGAGTCACCTACAACTGGAGCACGGGGACCCCAATGAGGGGCCCCCCCTCCGGTCTTCACGTGACCTGCTTTGATCCGACTCCCTTTGCTTCCCTCGTATTAAAACATTTATGTATCATATTAGTGGAGAGAATAGGAGGTGGGGGGGAAAAAGACTGTATTTGCATATAATAAAAGGCATACCCGCAGGCAGTGTCTGCCAACCACTGAACACTTATCACAAGCAGGAGGTAAATCGGAGGCTCTTTGTGCTTTTACAGCTGGAAATGTGCAACTCTTCAAAATGGAGACAAGCATAAACAGCGTGAAGGGGCGGGAAGAGGAGCATCGCGACACGTGTCTG